TTATTATTATTAGGTTATTTCCTTTAGTCCTTTTTAATAATTATGGTAAGAAAATAATTGTCTTGCAAGTGTTTAGGCAAGACTAGGACTCTTATTTTAATTCTCTTTCATTATTTATGCTGGATGGAACAGAAAAGAAAGACAGTTTTTGGATGAATGAAAATTGATCGTTTATTTCACGAGAGAATATCTCATTATCTGCCCATCTGTACTACGCTCTACATCACACGCATTCCCTAAGGTTACTGTAATATTTTGGTGTTGCTAATGAGCAATTGATTGCAAATAAGAAGGTAACAATCTACACTTACTAATAGTAGGGAATTATGAATAGGTTTAGGTAGACGTGTGAAAATTGGCTGGCGGTGGGGGACGGGCCAGCCCGCCATCTTGACGGGCTTCTATATGGCCAGCCCTACCCACCTCGCCATGGGCCGCGGGCTAGGCGGGCCCGCCAAATTTTATATTAAAAAAAAAATAAAAAAAATAAAAGACGAACTGAAAAGCCTTTAAAAAAAAAAAACCAATTTCAGTTTTTGTTCATCCTTCCCTTAAGCTTCTATGTTGTAGGCCTAAAACCAATTCAAGCCCCCTTCCCTTTGCAACCCTTGGCCCTTTAATATCTAGCCCCAGCCCACTTATCACACAATACATGTCCAAACATATACAAATTTACACACGCCCAGACTCTCTCACTCTTTGTTTTCAATTTTAGGGGCTTGGGACTTGATGAAAAAAAGAAAAATATTAAAAATCAGAGATTTCAGAACTAATGTCTAAGAAGCGTTTATTAGATTTACGACTTGATATTACATACATTTCAAAAATGAAAACTATATTTTTTTATTTTGGCGGGCTTGCCCGCTACCCGCCTGGCTCGCCCCGCCATGCCGCCAAAACCCGCGGCCCGCGCGGGCTATAGCCCGTTTAAGTTCGCTCTTTGGCGGCCTTTAAAACTACATCCCGACCGGCGGGTTGGCCCGTGAGCCCAATCCCGTTTTGACAAGTCTTTTTAGGTGGCCCGTGGCAGGAACAATTGATTAAAACAATAAAAATAGAAGCAGTGAGTAGTAGTGATGGTGGGTCTCACAACAATTGACACAAAACAAAAGAGGGTAGCAAAAGCTCGCCAGCAAAAGAAAACCCTCACAAACACATTGCTTAGGGAGAGGGCAACCTTTGAGTTGGCATATTTTCTTTTGAATAACAAAATCAATTTGCTTTAAAGTGACAACCTATCCACACATGCAATCTCTCTTTAAACCAACACATTATAGATCTAAAAGAACCTTTATTACCTCAAACTCCTCCTTAACAATCCTCTGTTTCATCACCCCAAAGCTTCATAATAAGGTTCTCTCTCTCTCTCTCTCTCTCTCTCTCTCTCAAATTATTTTGCTTTTTCTTTCTTCAAAAACTGTTGTTCATATAGAAATACAAAGATCCCAATGGATCAAGGGTCGACTTGGGCAGATCAATGGGGAGAGGGAGGGTTTGGTGCCATGCCTGAAGAAGACCCTAAAAGAAGCAACAAAGAAGAGAAGAAGACTACTGGATTCGGAAAGGTCCGAGCAGCTGCCATGGCCGGTGCACAAAAGCTCAAGAATGGGACTTCAATGGGCTTCAAGTGGATTAAAAACATATTCACAAAGAAATCGCCTCCCGCATCAGAGAAGGCCACTATTTGATCATTTTTATGGAAATACTCGTGTCGTTTTGTGATTTTTGGGCAAAAACTAATGTAATGCAAAGATTGAGGAGTATGATTGCTACTATTTAGCCTATTATCATTGCCTTTTCATTTGAGAGAGAGAGAGCTAATATGAAAAGCATTGCACTTGAAAAGGAAATCATGCAAAGAGCAATTTAAATTACGTAAAAAAAAAAAGTGCACATTGTCTGCTAGAACCGGGCATAACAAGCACGAATGTGAAGAAAAGTCATGGACGAAAAGAAATTTACTCTTGAGATACTATTTACAGATAAAGTAATCCATCAGCCTTTATAGTCACCGAATGTGTTCTCGCCACTATAAGTCATATACAGAAATCCATCCTCGTCTTTGTTCTCGTCGTAAATTGCAGACATCAATGCAGCTGTACCAATATATAAATGCTCGTTTTATAACAGATAATAACAATAAATATTATAAAATAGTATATAAAGGGATACACTCACCAGTAGAAGGGAGTGTGTCATTGACAAAGACAAAGATGGCCTTCTCAGCACTTAGCTTGATTCTCTTCCGAACAACGTAAACAAACTGGCCAACGGTCAAATCAGCTGGAACAAGGTATCTGAAAATAAAAAAGGAAAAAAAAAAAACGGGTTGGACACAAGTACTTTTGTTCAAACGGGAATAATCGTAAGTTTCTGAGTTTTTTTCTTCACCAGTTCGTAGGAATTTTTCTTTCAGGTTTTAGTTGTTTAGGTTTTCAATGAACCAACAAACCATAAGTCAATTGATACTGAACAATTATAATTACTGATATCCGGAAAGGAATACATTTTGGAGTGGAAAAAGGTCAGTCTATAGAATTCTTAAGTAACTAATGATTAATGAAGATATTAAAACAAAAGAATAACAAATTATATTGATTTACAAGCGATCATCGGCACAATTCAGTTGCGTGCAACTTACTTCTTCTTATCAATGTCAGGTATTTCGCTCTTTCCTGCCTTCTCAACAATGACCTGAAGATAATTTGTAGTAAATAAAATAAGAATCTAACACGCTTGCATAATTTTAGCCTGGGGCGATAAATATTGAATCACTTATTTTGAAATGCAACATATATCTAACCGGAACCCTGTCAGGATATTTCTCTCTGATGCGAGAAGATTCTGCCCGTCTTCTCTCTGCAATGGTAAAAAAACACACACATTTAGTTTCTCTGCAATGACTCAATATTTCTCCAACTTTAAGTGCCCTTGCATCAGCAAAATCCTCAACTCAAACTGTTTACAACCAACAAAAACAGGGATTAAGTAGAAAAAACTAAAGAAAAGCAAACAAAATATTTATATCAGAAAGTCATCATGTTTTTCTTCTTCCAAAAAATGTTAAATTAGAACACGTTTGCCGACCAGTTCACTTGAAATTATGTAGCAGTCACCTGCTATTGATTATAAAACAAAAGCAGAAGAAGAGTTTTTGCAGAAAGTGAAAACAAAATCTCTTCTAAGTTTATAAGAACAAACGAAGCAGTAGAATGAAGTTCATGTAACCAAAAACCGATAATCAAACAATAAACAGTGTTCGTCTTTTGTTAGAAAAAGTAACAATCTTTGACTTCAACAGATGAAGAGTTCCCATAAACATCCATATATTATTACCTCATTACCAGAATTGAAACATAATTGAATTGGGCAAATCCAATACCGCTACAAATTCACCAGAAACAATACAAAAACAAACAAACCCAATACCACTACAAATTCACCAAAAACTATCAGTTTCGCTATGGAGTCACCGGATGGCTCGACTAATGGAGTCATCCACACTTATTCACCAATATTGTATTGACACGTGTCCTACAATAAATAGTGTCAATACATTAAGTGGTGGATGGCTCTATAAGAAAACCATCCGATGGCTCCATATAATTTTTGGAGAAACTATTACTATCATCTGATCATACTAAAAAAAAAAACCGACATAACAACATACCCAGAGGATGTTCTAACTTGAAAGATCTTTTCGCCATGTTAACGTATCGAATTCGTTTCTCACACTGCAAAATTCAGACATCGAAACAACATCAGACACCCACAAAATCAATTTTCATCCTCAAAACAACAATAGCAACAAACAAGACGCACAAGAACAATCAATTTACTCATCATGTTTTACATCATATTCTTATTTTTCGCAAAGAGACAGAGCAAACCCAGATTCACGCGAAAAGGGCTCGCGCCAAACTCACCGAAGAATCAGAAAAATTACAAACAATTCTTTTGGGGGGCCCTGATTGGATTGATTATACGGGAAAAAAAGTTGAATCCAAACAAAGGGTCAAAATCAAGAACTGAAAATTTTTACAAAATATATTAGAAAAATAATGAGAAGCAAACCGAATGGAGTTTGAGATATGTCCTTTATCGACAAGGGAGCTTTCTTTGGGGGCTTAAAAAGGGTTTGTGGACGGTAGACGACGATGATGTGGAGACTGTAGAGACGATAATATGACCTTCGAGGGCTTAAACGGAATTGAAATTCTTGCGCTTCAAGTATAATGTGAATTTACTATGATACCCCTTTTGTTCTCGTTTATGTTTTTTATTTTGTCGTTTGTATTTTTGATCAAGTTTTTTCTCATTTATTGTTTTTTTTTTTGGTTTGACATTTATATTTTTGGATAAGTTGAGGTTTGGAAGCAAATGGCCACTTCTACAATTTTTTATTTTGTTGGTACAAAGAAGAAAGCGAGAGCTTTAGACTATGACGTTACGAGGGTGAACTACCCCTAGCATGTCATGTTCAAGTTACGGTGTCACCCCGTGGGAAAGTCGTCAAGTATGTGAAGTCCACTCGGCAAGGTCAAGGTCAAGGTCATTGACGCAAGGTAACCTGTTGCCTAACCAAATAGTTCATGTTTGAGCTTGTAATTCTTTAGTAAAGACTAGGCTCGATCCTTTTAATAAGTGAACCGACCCATTTTATAAATTTTAAAATCTTTAAACGAGTTATTCGTGAACATGAAATGTTTATTCGGAAACAAATTGTCACGTTTAAAACTCATAAAAATAAATTATCATAAAAAAAAATCAAGCTATTAATTAACATACTCGACTCGTTTAATTAACAAAACCTCGATTAATTGTTTGAGCTCTTCCGGTCCAAGTAAATGAATGAGATCCGATCTTGAAAATTCACAAGCCAAATTTGCATTCTCGATCAACTCAGATTCAAAATAACAGTTTGGGATAGTTCAATCCGGTGGATAGCTTCGGGGGTGATTGGATATGAATTCAACTAGTAAAAAACTAGTTTTTTTTTTAAATTATAGTTAAGTTTGAAAAAAATAGTATGGTTAGTTGTTAGTGGATATATTAAAATAATATTTAAATTAAAATAATTAAAGTTGATTTGATGTAAAAGTAGGAGAAAATAATTGGATGTGATGATTAGTTAAAATTATGTGAGTGAATGTATAGTGAATTAAAGTTGATGTGATGTGTAATAATAATTTGTTGATATTATTTAATTATATTGATAATATTGAAAATAGTGGAGTTGAGTTAAATTTGAGTTTTAATTCTTTTGAATGAGATATTTACTGTAAAATTCATGTAGAATTCATAAACAAGAAATGATTCACTTCAATCTACTTTTGTAATGCACTTGAATAGACCAATTGTTCACAAACATGCTTAATTTTTTGGCCAAAAATACCCTCCAATATCACAATAATTTCTATTACGCTCTGCAGCCACAATTACAGTGACAATTTCAGTATCCATTTCTGCTGAAACTTGGGGACCAACTCCGGAGGTACAAGCGTTTAAAGCCCCATCATTAAGAAACCAGCAATGCCATATTATGTAAAAGTGACTCTCATAAAATTGACAACGCTTGGCGAGAACTGATGCTAAAATCTCGATTCCAATAGTACAGCATCACCCATTACTTCGTGTTTTTCATGTCATAAGTATCCCGAAATTGCAAGTTCTCACAAGCAAATACATAAACACATTAACATTGGCATTAATCAGGAAACAGCAAATAAGCTACACCATTGTACCATTATCTTGCACTGAAGTAGTATACTTCATTCAGGATTCTTTATGAGGCAAGGCGGGAACAGGATCAGAATTGGGATTGCGAAGGGACTCAATCAAGTCACCTAGCTCCTTGCGGGCAGACTCTCTCCCGAACATGAACCCATACCTAAACCAACAATAAAAATAAATTAGTACGTCATTAGATATTCAAAATTTGAGGAGAAACGGGTTTAGTGAGTGTCGATAAGTTTTTGTAAACAAGAAAAATATATACCAACAGGAAATAGCAGAGAAGATGCTGGCGGTTGCTACCGTTTGTAGGAGAGTGAAATTCTTCTGCATTTTATATTTCGTAGATTTCTAATCTTCAACCTTCTTTTGATGCCTTCATTCCGAAAAAACCGACCACTTTTCAGACATTAATAAGATTTGACTATATAAAATGGTAGAAGTTCAAAAGAAAATATATACGAAACAAAAGGGTTTTAAGTTTAAATGTAGGCTAAACTTGTTTTAAGCTGATCCTAAGTTCAGCACAAACGTTAATGGAAAAGTTTATAGAAAAGTATTCAAATAAAAATGTTGTGCACGGCTAAGTCACTCAGTAAGTCCAAGTTATCTTTACACTCCAAAGCAACATAATCAATAGATTTGGAGAAAGATACCACCACCATATCACCTATTCAAATATTCCATTACAGAAACTCACTCGACACAAAACGAAAACCAATCACTAATTAATTAGTAAGACCGACGACGATGGCAAAGGTTGAAAACAAAAGAAAGGCTTGCTATAGTTACCAACTTTGGACATTTTATGGATAACATAGTAATATTCAAGCAAGTCAATAACGTTTCATGATCTAGAAATGCGGATAATGCTGCAGATTTTGATCCTATTGCCATGTTCAACTTATTTAACATCCTATTATCCTAAATGGCATCAACATTCTTGAACTTTCAAGATAAAATTAAATAATAATGTTGATTTCCTTTTTTCCCATAGGTTTTTCAACATATATTAAATATCGACTTCATTGTTCAGATACAATTTTTTTTAGTTTGTTCTTTTCAGATTATGTTAGGCTACAATAACCTCTATGCAGTGAATTGTTACCACTTACCACCTACATAATCGACACAGTTTTCACCCGAAAAGAAGGTGATATCTTTATTCCAAATAAGTTGCCCCCAAAAGCTCAGTTGACACACAAACACTAAGAAATGCAAGAACAATCAGAAACTTAAAAATCCAATACCAACCCACATAAATACATGTGTTAACATAACCAGATAAACAATCAGAAACAAAAATCAAACCTCACATTGAGGCCCGGACTTGGCAGCTCACAGTGAAAGAAAACAAGAACTGGTACTTGTTCATGAGCAAGCAAGAAAGAAAAACATATATCATTCAAATCCAAATCCAATCCAAGTCCACCAACAAAAGCAAATTAAAACATACAAATCGTCATACAGATTACATACCCACCATTAATAGTATTGTAATTATACCCAATGGGCAAATCACTAATGCGCCCAAAGCTAAGATAGATCTTAACCCTAATTAAATCAACAAAATCAGAGAGTCATTCTAAAATCTCCTGCCAATACCTTTCTGTGATAGTCGGTGGTGCCGGAGTAGATCGCCGGTGAGTGGAGTGGTTGCAGACTGCCGCCGGTCGTCTGCGCAGTAGGTGCGGATCGTGAAGCTCAAAGGAAAGCCGCGAAAGCCAGATGTGTTCTTGGCCCAAGCGGCCAAGCCCATTTGGTCTTGTTTAAATTAATTAATTAATTAATTATGATTTTAAAATCTTTAATTTCTTTCCTTTTCCTAAATATTACACGGTTACATTAGAAATCGTTTTTATTTGTATTTTTACCGGAAAAAAAAAATCCAATTATAATAAACCATTTTTTTACTGTTTTTAATAATTTATTTGTTGTTTATTTTTAATTCGTGTGTTTTTGTTTATAACTCATGTATAAATTTTATTTTAAAAGAGTTTTTTTTTTTTTTTTTTT